TCCTAGGGTGCCTCTGGCCTGATTGATGGGCGGGATCAGCCGTGGCAACGAGAAGCATCCCCGAGGACCAAAAAGGCGAGAGACAAAAAAATAACCAACTTTTGTCATGAAACCTCGAAAGCCTCGACCCTCAAATCTTGCTCCTCGCCCTCCTCCCCAACCGGGCGGGGAGGAGGAGGCGGGACGAGGAGGGGAGAGAAGGAGGAGGAGCAGCAGGAGCGCATACAGGGGGTGGGATGTGTCCAAGTCCAGCAAGCATCCCCAACCGAAAGCTATAGGAACGCGAGGGGGCCGAATTGAGGAGAGAAGTGGGACGGCCACCTCCGACCGAAACCCCGCGGACCTCAGACGTCGAGGGGCAGCCTCATCGCCGCTGGCGCAGGCAGCCAGCGCGGGAACACGAAGGACCGATGGCCAGGAATACATCGATCAAGCGGCCTGCAGGCCGCGGGACGCCTCGAGGACCGTGCGGGCTACCTGGGGCACCACAAGGTCCTCGGGGGAGAGCGCGGCACGCTGCGCCTCCACCGCGTCCAGGAGGGGCTCGAGCTCCGCAGTAGGCGAGAGGCCGAGCCGCGTCGCCAGCGCCCATCGCCCTGCGCCAACACAACGGCGCCACCAGGACGGCCGGGCGCCACAGCCTCCGCCACGCCGCGGTCACAGCGCGTCGGGGGGGCGCCAGCCCACTCATCGTCCAGGTCCCCCGTTCTCCCTTTTCGACAGCGAGCACACTCGCAGCAGCATCGGGTTGGGCAGGAGCGGGGGCAGGCCGCGCGCAGCGACGACGCCGCCGCCTCGGCCTGGGGCCGCCCCCGCCATCTCGGTGGCCACGACCTCCTCGCCGCCAGCCGGTGGGGCCCACACGGCCGCCGCGCCCGCCGCCCCACCGCGCCCGCGTCGCCGCCGCCGAGGGCGGCCCGCGCGGAGGATGGGGGCTGCCAGCGCGTCCGCCTCCCTCGGCGCGGGCCGCTCAGCCGCGGGGCCGATCAGATCGGCCAGGGCGGCGCGGAGCAGCCCCTCCGCCGCGCGCAGCAGGCGGGTCCCCGACGGGGACCGCCCGGCCGCGCGGCCGGAGGCGGCGTGGGCCGCGAGGAGAGCTCCGCGCGCGGCCTCGACGGCGCCGCGGAGCTCCGCACTCGGCCGCGCACCGGGCATCGGCGAGGCGGCGACGACCCGAGGGTGCCTGCGACACAAAGCCTCGAGGCAAAATGGCTTGACCCAAAATGGCTACGGAGCCACAGGGGGTGGGAGAGAGAAGGAGGAGAACAGGAGGAGGAGGAGGAGGAGGAGGAGGAGGAGGAGGAGGGGGAGGAGGAGGAGGAGGAGGGAGGGAGGAGGAGGAGGAGGACCTCCCCCTCCCTCCCTTCCTCCCCCCGCCCTCCGTCTTTTCTCTCCTCCCCCCACCCTCCCTCCTGTTTTCCTCCCCCTCCTCCTCCTCCCTGCCCTCCCTCCCCCAACCTTAGATTGGGCACGTCCCCCTACGGGCGGCTCTTGGGCGAAAATTGCAAACTGGCCAAAAAATGCTCAAAAGTAGTGATAGCCGAAAAACCGAATAGTTGTGGTCTATGGTTGCATATTCCTCCTGTGGAGGGACATGCCCGACTTAACCCCCACCCCCTCCCCGTGATGGGCGTGTTTTCCA